TTCTTGAATGAATTCCTTATTATATTTAGGTGGGCGATAGGCAACAGCACATAAAACATTCGGGGTGAGCTCAATCACAAACATCTGAAGTTCAAAGGAGGAGTAAGTGATGGTGGGCAGAAGTCTGCATTTAAAATTGTCCTTATAGATAGTGGCAACACCACCACCGCGGCCTGTCAGACGTGGGGAGCTGAAGAAGGAGCAGCCCGAAGGGGAGAGATCAGAAAACGCGCTGTTATCGCCTGGTCAGCCATGTTTCTGTCAGCAGCAGAAAGTCCAGAGAGTTTGCGCATAAGAAATCGTGGATAATAAAATTTTTATTTATGACAGATCTAGTGTTCAGAAGAGCCATCCGGATGGAACACTGGCTGTTATCCTGGGATGCACGGCCAAAGGAGCGGAGGTTCTCCTGAACCCTGCCACGCCTACAGATCTTTGCACGCCGAAGACCAGGAAATGCGCCGCTGCCAGTGTCCGTATCCACGACGCGTAACCAGCTGTATGAATATTCCATGGGGCATCGTATGTCCACAAAGTTGTATTTCCTGAGAATCTTGCGCAAAGACTGGAATGAAGAAGAGGCGAAGTGAGCCCGAAGCTTCACAAGAAACCCACTCCTCCTGCCGCGTCTCCTGCGACGGCGCCCGCTGCGGGCGACCACAACACAAGGATTCCGTAGAAATGGAGGTATGGATGCCAGGTGAGGTGGAGGAAAAGTCTTGGATCATCCATAAAGGTCACGAAACGGTACTTTTACCACTCTGGAATTAATATTTAAAAGTGTCTGGCGTTCATAAGTAAACAGTGATGACACAATCTGAACAAAAGTCAAGAAAAATAGCACAAAAAGTAACAACTTGAGGAGAGACAGACGACAAGCCAAGTACAACGGCGCCATCTTGTCCACCATCATGGGATGGGAGTCAAACTGCAAATACTGGTCTGTGTGGGTGGGTTTGCGGTACACCTCAGTTTGCAAATGTCCTCTATCAGAGACTGAGACCTCACAGTCCAAGAAAGCCAACTTGCCATTTTTTTCATCGTCTCGTGTGAACTTGATGTATTTATCCACAGAGTTGATGTGGTCAGTAAAATGTTGGACTTCCTGAGATTTAATTTTAACCCAGTTGTCGTCAACATACCTGAACCAATGACTTGAACTTGACCAATGAATTTTTTTAGATTTTTCTACCTGGATTATTGAGCATGCATCAGGATAGTTGTTCATAGCTTGACTTTTTTATGGCTGTGGAAGTCACACTTTTTGCAACTTCCTTCAGCTCCTCCAATAACTCTGTTGAGTTCATGCTGTCCACCTGTTCACCATATGGATGTAAGGATTCTGTTAGCAGTGTTAACGCTCTCTCTAACCAGTCCTTTTCATCACATGGAGCAGCATCAGCTTCTGTTAAATCTGCCATGGTTATGCACTGTTCAGCAAAATCCTATCTGGTTAAACAGTTGCAAACTTAGAGTTTTTAACAGGTAAATATTTGTATTTAAGTGAGCAGAGAGTCTCACACTATTTTAGGTCTGGGCCTAACCAACAGTACTGTTATAAGCCAACTTTTCAATAAATGGGCCCCTGTTCAGGCCTTACCCCATAAATTTTGTAAGTAAATGCCTCTTTCTGGCAGTGTTACTTAATATGCTTATTTTTTAAAAGATACAATGAACCAGGCTATTTCAGTGTACTCCAATGCACTTAAAATTAATAAACCTGCAATTTTTCTAAAGTCTGACAGCAACTTGTAGTTTTAAACGCTCTTTAAGCAGTTTAATTTACCAGAATATGCTATTTAAACAGTAACGCATAAACCAGGCTCTGATTAACAGGAAAAAAAAATTTTAAATGAAAGGCGAGTGTACAGCTCTTTCTGGAAAACTGTTATACTCCTTTTCAACAGCAGGTGGCGGTGTAAGCTTACTTTTACCGGTAGGAGTCGCTAACGACTTCCTGTGAACCGTCCTGTTGACATCCGGTTGTTAGCCGTTAGCTACGATGTAGCACACGGTCGAACATGGTCCAATCAGCATTTATGGAAGGATTTAAAGCATAAACGTCGCGTCGCTCAACAAGCACACCTTTTCTGCATGTACTCATGAGTTTAGGAACAAAAAACAGGGCCTTATTCAGCGTTTTTAAACACAAAGGAGGACTCTGTTAAAACAAGCTTCATTTCTGGGGTCACGTGACTTTACAGACACGTGCACATCGGGGTGGGCTTTACGCACTGACATCAGAGTGAGAGGACGTACAGGGATACGTCACCAGCTTCTCAGCGAATCAGAACGACCCAAACAGCGGTTCTCAACCAATCACAGCTCGTGACAGCTTTAAGCTAGCAGTTAGCATCAACAGTCCGGTCAAATTATCGCTCATTAGAGCCTCAAAAATTGCACAATTTTACTGTGAACGTAACAGATCAGCATCGGAGCAGCTCCTGAGATGGCGCTCAGCTTCAAACAAACGTACTACCATTCAAAACACGACTCGAACGAGTCCAGCAAACAGAACCGGGTCAGACACGCAGAACCCCCTTTCTGCTACAGTTTCAAACAGAATGGATGCGTTATTCTCACTGCATAGAGCTTAGTTACACAAACAGATTGACAATTTCAGCTTTAACAATGAACACATTGACGTAACCTGCAGCTTTCTGAACACCAAAAGCATGAAAATATGCCTGTACCAAGTTCAAAACTCGGACTTTTTTATATGCCAACATGACGTTATTTTACAATAACACAGATCTCATGTCACACATAATTCATCTCTTTAGAAACCTTATGGGCCACCAAATGTAGTGAAATGTGGGGGTCAGCTTAACTGTAACTTCACTACTAATTAATTATTCTTAAAGCTAGTTCAAGCACAAAGATAATTAATTATTTAATTACAATGGATTCTTTATTTTTTGAGTTAAATTAATGCCATGTGACCGAGCTAACTGTGAGGATTGTTTAATCAGTGACATTAGACGCCATTTTATCTTTGACCCATCAGAATAAATGCGGTCATTTATTTAACAGAATCAAAATTTAACATCAAAACATGTACACTTGATTTGCGGATCTGGTTCTGATTAATGAAAACTTGGCACGCTTTACTAACAAGACAACAGAACATTTCTGAAGGCATCTAGATTTGATTTACTGGCGAAATAGAAAGGTTTAAAGGAAGGAATGGAGAAGCTTAAAGTAGATGGATGAAGGAAAGATGTATGTTTTGTTGACCAGAATTAGCACGCTTCTTTCAACACCAGCTCAAACCCCGGTACACTCGATGCGTGACGACTCATTACTTTTGTAGAAAATAAATCAACTCTGGTACAGAGGTCCATTTCAATGCTACCTTTCCAGCGTCTCCAGTCATCGCCAGAAGTCGTGACGATTGACGCCGTCCAACAGACAAGCTTCCTTCGAAGTTGTAGGCGTTACGCCCGGGTGAGTTCACAGCGAGGCGCTGTGATTCTATCCATAGTCAAAGATTCCACTCAGAAGTGGAAGACTCCATGAAAGACTCTAGGAAGACTGCGGTCAAAGACTCAAGAGTCGAGAAGACTCGGATCAAAAGACTGCATAGTTCCAGGAAGTGTTGACTTTTAAAGAGTCCTCACTTCCAGTCACTTAGTACTTCCTGATTGGTTGAAACAACCAGCAGGGGGTGGTTCTAGTGATGTCAGAGGGTTATTAAAAGTCAAGAGAAGCTGTAGGAATGTTTAGGAACGTTTAGTACAGACAGAGAAATGTTATGGCGAAGTGAAAGGAAGCAGGTGCCAGTTGCTTCTCTTTTTACCATCTGCTAGGTTTAAAACAAGACAGTTTCTTCTAATAACTTGTTTTCTGACTGTCTCTGACTTTCGACTGACATCACTGACTTCTCATTCAGACAGAAGATCAAAATGCATAATTACTTTGTAAATAGACATTTAACTTGATTTCTAATTTAAATGAGGTTTTAAAATCCTCAATACTGTTTCACAGTTGATTTAAATGAGTGGTTTACTTTCAACATTAGAAATGATATGAACTAAACACACTTTTGATTATCAAGATATTGTAAAATAGTAATGATAATATAAAAAGAACAGTGTTCTTTCAATTGATTAATTCAGGATACAATTAACAGTCTCTTGATGAGCTAATTTGTATTTCTGGATTCAAATCAATGAAATAACAGATCCTGTCCCATGAAGGTCTTCAGAGACAGGTTTTGGTCGGAGGCCTAGTTCACTACAAAGAGAACCAGAGACTGTTGCTATCTTGCTGGAACAGACCACTGTCAGCTGGGGCAGTGGCCGAAAAAACGAGACCATGCCAGACCACACCCAGGAACATCGACTGACCCAGAGAACAACATTGCGATAAGGAAATCCCAATATAACTGATAATGCTGTATTTAAACGAAGCAAATACATTTGTAACTCAGACGTGTTTTTGATGGATGTAAGGTGCATGTGAGACCATTTCCCTTTCCAGCGCTGTGAATGTAAAATAAATATTTGTCTGAATTCAGAACCACTTCTCAGGCTGTGTTTTTTGACTCTGTCTTCCTTCCACTGAATGATCTCGAGTTGAGGCAATTTTTGGGCTGTGTGTCCTGAAGGTTGTTTCTCATAGTCTGAAGACTTCAATAACACTCAATGTGCTTTACACTACAATCTGTGCCCTCATTTACCCATTCATACAGCACTCTACTATATTGTACAAAGCTAATTGAACAAATCTTTCTAAAGAGACCAATCAGTGCTTTATCACATTCATACACCGATGGGACACACATCAGAGGCAATGAGGAATTCAGGGTTTTTGCCCAGGGACACTTCGGCATGTCACTGTTGGTGGATTTAAACCCCCAACTCTTGCACCGGAGGTCGACTGCTCTAATCACTCAGCCACAGTCGCCCACACTTAGTCACAGCCGCCCACACTCAGCCACAGCCACCCCCAAAAGGATACACCCCAAATTGGTCATCAGTGAGTAAGGTTGTTGTTACCTGAATAGCATCAACTGTTGCCTTGAACACAGGGTTGTTGTGTTTGACTGTTCTCCAGTACTTTGGCCTGTTGGGATTTGTCAAATTACAGCCATACTTTTCCAGGATGTTGAGCGCCGTGGAAAAGCACTGTAGAGATGCAAGTGTCTGCAGAGAAAGCACAGAAGTTGAACTGTTTCCAGTGTCAAGATGGAACAGGAACATGCAACTGATCCACACATATGCTGGTTATACTGTAACATTTTGTATTTTTTAAAAACTATTATTACCCACAGCCAAAGTTGACGGTGGAGCAATAATGTATGTGTGAGTGTTTATTTGTTCTATTAACAAAATATCGTCTGAATAGATTTTAGTGAAGTTTTTAGAAGGTAATCATTAGACTTACAGCACATGTACAACTGCGTAACATATGTCAATCAAATTCAATATGGCCACCACAACAAAGCAATCTTAAAAAACACAAAATTGACCAAAACCTCTAATTCTTCACAGACGCTGTACATTATACATCACTCTGTTCTTCTTTCATACAGTATATACATGATCTTGTTTGTATACATGTCTGTGGTGTGGGAGGTCACCCCAGGGCAGATCTAAAACTTGCTGGGAAGATAAAGTGTCCTCTCTGGTCTGGGAACACCTTGGGATGCTCCATGAGGAGCTACTAGAGTGTGACTAGGGTGTCTGTTTCTCTCCTGGACCTCGGCGACCCAATCATTGATAAGCTGTAGAATATTGATAATATATATACATGCATGGACAAGGACTGAGAACATAATGAGATACTAAAAAAGGTTAAATAATTTCATCTGGACCAGTTTCTTTAAGGGACAAACATTTCGTCTTCCATCCGGAAGACTTCATCAGTCTGTGGCCTGCCAACCAGATCTGTCCCATAAGTAGCCTTCATTGCTGTGTTTCAAGCCAACCTCCTGTTGGAATCTCAGAAGCAGGCTTTTAACAGATGCAAAAGGACCCATCCGTCCAAAACAATCAATCATCATGTATAACAATCAAATGTTTTAGGCCAGATGGCCAACTTGCTACTCACAGAAACAGCCTGAAGACACCAAGGTCAAAATATGTCAGCACAGACATAAAAAGTTTGTGTGCTGGGTGAGTGGGGTCATCGTTGTTTGTGATGCATCCCACTACTGCTGTATCATCTACAAACTTTACAATGTGACAGCCTGGATGGGAAGGTGCACTGTCATACGTGAGCAAAGTGAACAGGAGAGGGCTCATCACACAGCCCCGAGGGGAGCCAGTGCAGAGGGTTATGGTGGAGAAGGAGAAGTTGAGGATCCTTATAGACTGTGGTTTGTTTGTTAAGAAGTCCATCCAGCCGTTTCCTTTCGCTTATCATGGGGTCGGGTCGCGGGGGTAGCAGCGTAAGTAGGGAGGCCCAGACTTCCCTCTCCCCAGCGACTTGGGCCAGCTCCTCCAGGGGAATCCCAAGGCGTTCCCAGGCCAGCCAAGAAACATAGTCCCTCCAGTGTGTCCTGGGTCTTCCTCTGGGTCTCCTCCCAGTGGGACGTGTCCGGAACACCTCACCAGGGAGGCGTCCAGGAGGCATCCTAACCAGATGCCCGAGCCACCTCAACTGGCTCCTCTCGATGTGGAGAAGCAGCGGCTCTGTTCTGAGTCCCTCCCAGATGATCGAGCTTCTCACCCTATCTCTAAGGGAGAGCCCAGACACCCTGCGGAGAAAACTCATTTCGGCCGCTTGTATCCGAGATCTCGTTCTTTCGGTCACAACCCAAAGCTCATGACCATAGATGAGGGTACGAACGTATATCGATTGGTAAATTGAGAGCTTAGCCTTTTGACTCAGCTCCCTCTTCACCACGACAGCCCTGTACAGCACCCGCTTCACTGCAGACACTGTACTTATCCGCCTATCGATCTCAAACTCCATTTTTCCCTCATTTGTGAACAAGACCCCAAGACACTTGAACTCCTCCACTTGGGGCAGGACCTCCTCCCTGACCCAGAGAGGGCACTCTACCCTTTTTTGGTTCAAGACCATGGCCTCGGATTTGGAGGAACTGATCTTCATCCTAGCTGTGTCGCACTCGGATGCAAACCGCTCCAGTGATAGCTGTAGATCACGATCTGATGAAGCCAATAGGACCACAACATCTGCAAAAAGCAGAGATGTGATCCCAAGGCCACCAAAATGGATCCCTTCAACACCTTGGCTGTGTCTAGAAATTCTGTCCATAAAAGTTATGAACAGAATCGGTGACAAAGGGCAACCTTGGCGGAGTCCAACTCTCACCGGGAACGAGCCTGACTTACTGCCGGCAATGCGAACCAGGTTCTGACACAGGTCATACAGGGAACTAACAGCCCGTATCAAAGGGCCTGGTACCCCATACTCCCAGAGTACCTCCCACAGGGTTCCCCGAGGGACGTGGTTGAATGCCTTCTCCAATTCCACAAAGCACATGTAGACCAGTTGGGCAAACTCCCACGCACCCTTCTGGAGCCTGCTGAGAGTGTAGAGCTGGTCCAATGTTCCAAGACCAAGACGAAAACCGCACTGCTCCTGAATCCGAAGTTCAACTATCTGACTGACCATCCCCTCCAGAACCCCCGAATAGACCTTACCAGAGATTCTTAAGAGCGTGATCCCCCTGTAGTTGGAACACACTCTACGGTCCCCCTTTTTGAATAGGGGGACCACCACCCTGGTATGCTAATCCAGGGGAACTTCCCCTGATGTCCACGCAATATTGCAGAGTCACGTAAGCCAACACAATCCTACAACATCCAGAGCCTTAAGGAACTCCGGGCGAATCTCATCCACCCCCGGGGCCCTGCCACTGAGGAGCTTTTTAACCACCTTGGTGACCTCAGCACCAGAGATTGAAGGGCCCGACCCAGAGTCCCCAAGCTCCACTTCCTCAGTGGAAGATGTGCCAGTGGGATTGAGGAGGTCTTCAAAGTATTCTGCCCACCAACCCACGACATCCTGAGTTGAGGTCAGCAGCACACCACCCCCACGGTACCCATCAGCTGCTTCCGGGGTCCCACTGGCCAAAAAGGCCCGATAGGACTCCTTCTTCAGCCTGACAGCATCTCTCACCGCCGGTGTCCACCACCGGGTTAAAAAGTCTACGACCCATATATATACATATATATGTGTGTGTGTTTATCTGTGTGTGTGCATCCGCACGTGTGCGTGCTTATCTATTTTCAAGTTATAGCCCTCCCGAACAGAAATTCGCCTGCCGCCAGTGGATCTAACATGATTTTGGTTAGTGTTTGATCCCAAGTGGCAGAGCGAACAAGAGACAGACAGAGTATACAAAATAAGTGGTGTTATTTACAGGTGAGGGATCAGTTGGCTGAAAAGGAAGAGGAGACACGATATAAAGTTGAGTCTTGAATCATTTTTAATATGTGAGAGTAGACAAATGTTCTACTTAAAAGTATTGGAGGGGGGGGGGGGGGGTTAGTGGTCAATGGAGTAAAACTTGGGTTTTTGTAGCTCCTGCCAAGTTTGGTCAAAATTCTTATTTTACTGTGCTTTTTTTTATATAAACCAAGTGTTTCCTCTCTACATTTTTGCATTTTTTTGGTCTGATTACATACTTTTGTATCACGTTGAAATGTCAGGAAGAGGAAAATCTCGTACTATTCAGACGCAGATAAAGCCGTGCTCGCAGGCCTCGACATCTGGGCCGCTGAGGCCGGGTGTCGAGCCTGTCTCTACACAGGTGAATCTGGACGCTGACCCCTTAAAACTAGAGCTACTGTCTACCCTGAAAGAAGATATTGCTGGAATTATTAAGGAGGAGCTGCGACAGGTTCTCAGAGATGCATTGTCATCCATTAAATCTGAACTGCAAGTTGTGAAAATGCAGCTAGCGAGTGACTATGCTTCTACCAATGCTAAGCTAGTTAAGCTAATAGCTATGGTGGGGGATGTGGAGGAGGCACTCACGGGTTGTACTGATGACATTGTCGGTATGAAAACAACTCTCGAGCGGCTTGCTGCTAAAGTTACCACGTTGGAAGATAAGTGTGAGGACCTAGAATCAAGATAGCGCCACAACAATATCAGGATTATCTGTATGGAGGAGGGTGCTGGCTCCTGCTCTCCTACTGCTGTGGCCACGCTGTTGAAGGAGGCGCTCGAACTGGAGAAGGAACCACTGGTGGACCAATCTCATCGTTCTTTTCAGCCCAAACCCAAACCTGGAGACAGACCGCGGGTAATTGTGTGCAGGCTTCATTACCACAGCGACTGTCTGGATATTTTATGCAGTGTGAGAGAGCGCCAGCAAATTAAAATTGGAGCCGAGACCATATCGGTTTTTCTGGATCATACTGCTAAGTTTGCCCGGGCTCGGGCAGCCTTCAACGAGGTCAAGCAGCTACTTCCTGACATCGATGTGGTCAAGTACGGACTTTTCTACCTGGCGCAGCTGCGCATTACCTACAAGGGTGTTGTGAAGGAGTTCACCACATCTGAGGACGCCAAGCAAAATGTTCAGACTTTGATCTCTGGGTGAGCTCTACTCGTTCTTTTTTTTTTTTTTTCTTTTTTTTGTGATGGCCTCCCTTCTCCCCTTACAGCCATCCTCTCCACACCATTATTATGAAATATTTATTATAGTGACTATCTAGTGTAGTTTTTTTTTTTTTTTTTTTTTTTTTTAATAGGATAGAAAGAAAGAAAAGACAAAGTAAGACTCCAAAATATAAGAAATATATACAAATAGAGCACACGTCAAAACACCCGGCCACTGTCTGTTCACCTGCAAAGAACATGACAAAACACAGCAACAAAATACATATGTATAAAGAACTTAAAATATTCATGGCTTTGCAGTAAGTTTCCATAAATATATATACCCATACCTACGCCTATATACATACATACATACATACATACACATGAATATACACTCGCATACATATCTATATATCTACATATAAAGCCTACATAAGCATCCCTGCTTCTATTTGTGTGTGGTTGTGAGCATGCATAAGTGTATAAGGCTTCTCTAATAGAAC